CCAATTTCTACTTCATTTAGCACACCCCATCGTTTAAAGTAGACAAATTTGTAATTTTGAGATTTCAATTAACTTAGAACCATCAAATTAGAATTTTAGTTAAGAATGATTTAAGATAAATAATAAAAAAATATAATCAATTTATTTTCAAATTAAAAATACATCAAATAAAATAAAATTCATTATTATATGACACAAAGTAACTTTTTAAGATTGTACATATATGTCAATAATATAAGTCATCTATATTGAATATTTTATTTTTACTAAAGATTTTAACTTTTATATATTTATGTAAAATGATTAATTATGCCAATTAATACTTTTTTAATAAATGATTATTGCTATGCGACTATAGTATAGTAAAATTAATTTGTCTTAGTTCAAACATTTTATTTTAGATAAGTTTTAGTTGTCTTTAATAAAAAAGTAATGACTTTTTTAATATATTTGGTACCATTCTATATCTTAAGTTTATATAATGAGTTTATATTTGACACATAATCAGTGTACAAATTTTATATATAGTCACTAAATCAAATGAAATCATTTTATAATGAGCAAATTTAATTTTTAAATAAATATATAAAAATTAATTTTTTAAAAAATTTTACATATTAATGAAGTGATATTATTTTATTCATCTTATTAATAATATCATTTAATTCACTGATAACGTATAAAATTTATATATAACAATGCATTAATATAAACACTTATATAATTATTGAAAAAACCTTAATCATTCAAAAATTTTCATGCATATTATGAATAAAGTATTGACCAGGTGACGGTGCCAGATGTGGTAAAGCAGCATAATCGTGTAAGTCGCGATGCAGAGGGGAATATAAATTAAGGCAAAGAGAAAGACGGGTGGTCCCTGGGGGTTCATTTCACTCGCTTTATAGCTTTTTCGTGAGAGAAAAAAACGATAAGAGGGTATTTGTATTTGCGAGTCTCTTTGAGTTTTAGGGTTTCTATCTTTCATTTGCTCTCCAAATTTCAGTATTTTTTTTCTCTGAAAACCTGTTTGTTTCAGTGTTTTTCTCTTGTGTTTTCATCTTTGGACTTTTTTTACTGGTTTTTTGAGGTATTTTTGAAAGTTCCTTTGTTCTTGAAAAATTTTAAACGTTGTTCATTGCAATGCTGCTTCAGTGGGTGGGTTTTTCAAGGGTTTTCTTCTTTTTTGAGTATGATCTGTGCTTCGTTGCCATTTTTTGTTTCTAGTTTTTCAACAAACGCTTCAAGTTTGCACCTTTTTAGCTGTTTTTTTTTTTTTTTTTTCTATTTTTAAAGACTGCAGTTTTTCGTTAGTGTAGAGCACTTTTCTATTTTGAAAGACATATACCTTTCGTAACCTTGTTATTTTATTTTATTATTCAGTTCTTTTATAGTAAAAAAGGTTTCTTTTTTGTCATCTTATCATCAAGCCATTAGAAAGCTGTACATTTTTGCTTCAGTTGGTATTTTTAACTCCGTTTACAAGCTTTTTGTCGCTTCATGTACTCTTCCTCTGTAGCTATAGTCTTTTACTGTCTCTTGATGTGTTAAAGGTATTTGCTTTCTGGTATATTTTCGTTCTACCCCTTAAATGATGCAATATATTTGGTTAAAGTTTTGACTTTTATGCTAAAAGCAGCACCTTTTTGCCTCTCCATGTTAACCTTTTTAGTGCATAGCCGGCCTTGGTACCTCTGGGTTCAAGCTCATATTCTCAAAGGTTCCTTTTTTTTTGGTACTCTGAAGGGTTTCTTTTTCTTTTATTTTACCATTTGTGCTTATTTCTCTATATTTTTTTTCTTGTGGAAGTTCCAGCATTCATCAACATACGCTTTTTTATTTTTTTTCTACAGATCCTCTGCTTTTAGGTAATATTGGTATCCTTCGTAAACACGTCTTTCATGTGCATGCATGTGATTTTCTAAGCATTTGTGAGGAAAAAAAAAATCTCATTTTTAAATATTATATAGTTTTGGTGCTTTGATTTTTTTTTTTTTGACGTATGAACATATTGACTTTGTTTTTCTTTTTGGCGAATGAGCATATTGTTAAAAAAAAATCTCATTTTGAATATGTAGGTAGAAAAAAAAAATCTTATTTTGAGTATATTAGTAGAAAAAAATATCATGTTGTTGTTTTCACTTTGTTAAGATAATATATCACATGAAAACATAACATAAATATGATACAAATAAAGGGAATACGAAATACAATATTAATAAATAACACGAAAGAAATATGATTTATAATTTTAATAATAATTATATATGGTTTAACAAATTTTAAAACCATATTTCATATTTTTTTTATTTATATTAATTGTTACACATAATTTTTATAAAATACATGAAATTTAGTATTTACACGATACAAATACAAAAATTTTCAATCTAATTTTTAAGTCATTATTCTATTTTCTGAATTCTTTAAATTTCTATGTTTATGTTTCTCTAAAAAAAGATACATCTTTGTTGATTTCTCTTAGGATATTTAAAGTTTAAAAAAAAATACAATTTTATAAAGAAAAACCATATATATAAATAAACACTATCTAATTTAAGTGAACTAGATACTAAATTATATAGAATGACGAGTTTTAAAATTGTGATATGTCAAGAGTGATTGTTTCTAGTTTTCTCTCTTTTGTTGGTAATAACTAATTTATCAAGTTAAGAGTAATTATTTTTTTCTGCCTGGTTATAGCTAATCTTTTTATCCATGAAATGATACTATTATCTACCTTTTAGGGAATTTGTCTTGTAGCTAATCTTAAGTGCTTACTATATTTTATTTTTCTTTCATGTAAGAAATTTTTCTTGGTTAGGAAATGCACTCGTCTGAGGATGAGGGAAGTGGGGCAACAGGCACTCTTCCTCCTCCCCTGCCCTGCCGCGCAATGCAGTACCAAACGAATCAGAATCTGAACCTGCAAAGAAGGTTGTACGTGTCCCAATGGCCAGGAAAGGTTTTGGATCTAAAGGGCAGAAGATATCTATTCTCACAAATCACTTCAAAGTGAATGTTGGAAGTGTTGATGGACATTTCTTCCATTACAGTGTACGTAATTGCTTACTTCGCTCTGCTTCTCTTTTTTTTCTCATTGGTAAATAGAAATTATTGATGCAAGTTTCTTCTTCTTTTGCATTTTGGTTCAACAGGTTTCTCTTTCTTACGAAGATGGTCGCCCAGTGGATGGGAAGGGTGTTGGAAGAAAGGTGATAGATAAGTTGCATGAGACCTACAGCAGTGAGTTGGCTGGAAAGGACTTTGCATATGATGGGGAGAAGAGTTTATTTACTGTTGGTCCTCTCCCAAGTACCAAGCTTGAGTTTCCTGTTGTACTTGTGGATGTTACATCCAACAGGTTGACGTGCACTTTAGATTGATTTGAAGTATTTATACTGCTCCCATTCATTGTCATTAATTTTTTATGTATAGAAACAATAGGAATGCAAGCCCTGATGGCAATGAAAGCCCTAAAGAGCGTGGAAGGAATATATTAAGACATATGCATCAGTCAAAGACTTTTAACGTGGAGATTAGCTTTGCCGCAAAGATTCCCATGCAAGCCATTCAAAATGCTCTGTATGGACAAGAATCAGAAAACTCACAACAAGCCCTGAGGATGCTAGATATCATTTTACGGCAGCATGCTGCAAAACGGTGAGTTAAAATATGTGGCTGCATATTCTTTTCTCCACTTGTAGGTTTTGATCCCGGATATTATATTTATTCTGACATTACAATGACTTTCATAGGGGATGCCTACACGTTCGCCAATCTTTTTTCCAAGATGATGAAAATAATTATACAAACATTGGCGGTGGTGTCCTAGGATGCAGGGGGTTCCATTCAAGTTTCAGAGCTACTCAAGGAGGCCTTTCACTGAATATTGGTTGGAACCTTATCTCTCAGCGCTTTTGCATTTGTGTGCTTTGTATTGTTTGTTTAATTACTATTTCTCTTTGTGTTTCAGATGCATCAAATACAATGATAATTCGACCCGGTCCAGTATTGGATTTTTTACTTGACAATCAGAATATGAGAGATCCTCACTACCTGGACTGGAACAAGGTTATCAATAACTACATTTTTTAGCCAAGTGAATTAGAGTTCTTTGCATCAATTATTAATTATTAAACCGCAATTGCTTGAAACCCTGAATAGGCTAAACAAGTGCTTAAAAATCTGAGGGTAAAAGTCAGACCATCCAATCTGGAGTACAAGATTACCGGATTGAGTGACCTTTACTGCAAAGATCAGATGTATGGTTTCCTGGTCTCACAATAGTGCTTTTTCTTTGATTTGTGCTAAATTGGCTAATATTTAACTTTGAGCTTTTCCTACTAGCATGTTGTGTAATACTTCAGTTTAAAGTTATTATTTTTTATTTGTTGTGTACTGTGTCCATAATGCAGGTTCTCATGGAAGCAGAAAAGTGCGAAGAATGAGACTGGTGAAGCTGAGACTGTGGAGATTACTGTTTATGAATATTTTGTCACCCATCGCAAGATACAGTTGGATTATTCTGCAGATTTGCGATGCATTAATGTTGGCATGCCAAATCGGCCAACATATATTCCTATGGAGGTGAATGGGTGCATTGTGGTTTTGTTTTGTTACATGATATATGCTTAGCAACTAATTCTTGTCTATGATTTGTTGTGCACCTGTTGCAATGCCATAGCTCTGCACTTTGGTGTCCTTGCAACGCTACACAAAAGCGCTATCCACTTTCCAAAGAGCTTCGCTAGTCGAAAAATCAAGGCAGAAGCCTCAAGAAAGACTGAGTATCTTGTCTAACGTAGGTCTATTATAAGCTTTTGACTCTCAACATTCCACTTGTTCTACAACTGATGAGTGTTGCAAATTTTTGTGCAGGCTTTGCATAACAGTAATTATGGTGCTGAACCAATGCTGCGTTCATGTGGTGTTTCTATCAGCTCTAATGTCATCCAAGTGGAAGGCCGTATTCTGCCAGCTCCATGGGTAGGTTAATGATATTTATCTTTCTGAATTTTGTTTGTTTCTTTGATATTTTGTACATGTATGCTGGTTGTTGAGGGTTATTTTAATCATCCTTCTTTTAGATCTACATGCCAATTGAGTTATCTTTTGATGACAGATAAGAGTGGGCGATGGTGAACATTTCTTGCCACGGAATGGGCGATGGAATTTCAACAATAAGGTCTATAGCTTCTTTGCTTTTGCAGCCTTCTATCTTACATATGTTTCATCTCTTGTTTCTCAACAGTTCAGTTATGCTTTCATAGAGATTTGTGGAGCCAACTAGGATTGAAGATTGGGGTGTTGTTAACTTCTCGGCACGTTGTGATGTAAATAAACTTGTGCGGGATCTGATGAGATGCGGAGAAATGAAAGGAATTGTAAGTTTGTTGTCTAATTTTTGTACTGGTTGTATTGGTATTGTCAGTCAGCACATACAAAGTTATAGAATTCAACTTGTTGGCTCAAGTTCTTTTCCATGTCTCTTTTTCAGCGTGTAGATAGTCCATTAGGTGTGTTCACAGAGATGAATGAGAACAGACGTCTCTCTCCTTTGGGTAGAGTGGAGAAGATGTTTGATGAGCTGCAATCTAAACTTACTCATAAAACTCCACGGTTCCTTCTCTGTCTGCTGCCCGATAGGAAAATTTCCGGTCTTTATGGTGTGCACAAACGCATCTGTTGATACATTGTCTATGCATGTTTTTCTTCAAGCCTTTTGCTTACGTTGTAAGTTCAATGAATTTTCTAAGGTCCATGGAAGCGAAAGAATCTGGGTCACTTTGGCATAGTCACTCAGTGTATGGCTCCAACTAGGTTCAATGACAAGTACCTTACGAATCTGCTTCTCAAGATCAATGCAAAGGTCTGCTTCCGTCCAATGAATTTTTCTTTTTTTTAACTTGAGTCATTCCTCTGGTTGCAGTTCTAATCTTCTGTAGTTAAACCATAAGGGTTATTGTTCTATTTATAATTAAACCTGCTAATATCATAATCTGCTCACAGCTCGGAGGACTGAATTCAATGTTATCAATTGAACAAACACTTTCATTCCCTGTCGTTTCAAGTGTTCCAACTATGATCCTTGGCATGGGTGTGTCACATGGCTCTCCTGGGCAGTCCGATGTCCCGTCAATAGCTGCGGTAGGGAAGATCTTATTCCTTATCATTGGGTTTCTTGAGTTTCAATCAATTGCAAGCAGTTATAGAGATGTGAATTGTCTGTCTCTCTGTACTACAAATTTTGTGAGATTTTTTAATTGTATTTAATTGTAGGTGGTTAACTCCAGGCAGTGGCCTTCGATTTCCCGCTATAGGGCATCTGTTCGGACACAGTCACCCAAGGTTGTAATGGTAGATTCACTATTCAAACGAGTGTCTGACCAGGTGGATGGAGGTCTTATGAGGTACGTTTCAATCTTAAAGTTATTTGACTAACGAAGGGACAAGTGTTGGCCAAAATAAGACATCGTTTATCCAAAAAAAGGGACAAGTTATATGCTGAAAATTTATTTTTTGTATCCTTATTATTGTTTTCTCTCTTCTTGCTTGGGGCGTCATTGGGGGTGGGTTGTAATAAGAATATGTTATTCTGCTGTAATCATTTATGTCGTAGTATTTTAACTTTTGAGGAATATAATGTTTATAGTTTGTGTACCTAACGTATTTTCTTTGACATCAGGCAGGCTGTATTGGACTTTATAGAAGCTCAGGACAGAGAAAGCCTACTCAAATCATCATATTCAGTTTTCTTATTTTACATTTTGCTGTTTCTCACGTTCATTCTATATAATATCAATATTCTAAATCATACATTTTGAAAGAATACATTTTTAGGGAACTCAGGGATGCAAAATTTGGTTTTCCTAGTTCTTAATTGCCACGGCTTGGTCTCTGCTTTGCAAACTCTATTTGTATTGACTTCAAGTAATGGGTGTATTTATTCTTTTAAATCATCTTTTTACTTGTGAAATGCTGTATTGATATTCAAGTATATTTGATCTGCTTAGTCTCTTCATGTTGCTTACAGATTGTACAAGTTGTCCTTTAAACTTTTAATCAACCTAGCATGTTCCTTGCTGCCTGCTGTTTGAAATGCTTCAGAACATTCTCATTTTTTAGCCTTTTCTATTATCCTCATTTTCTGCTCTGGCTATATGACTTAAAATGATGTAAATCCCAGCTAATGCCCTAACTAAGATTTAGATTTCTGTTTTGTATAGTTAGGTTCTATGAATGTAACATTTTTTATGAACCATCATATCTCTTTACATATTTCTTGTAATCTAGTTTGCGGTTATTTTGCTGATCTTTCTGTTACATTTTATTCGGATGCTAATGCAATATTGCTTACTTGCTCATTATTCTTGGTTCAACTCAGGGATGGGGTTAGCGAGTCACAGTTCAATCAAGTTTTGAACACTGAACTGGGTCAAATTATTGAGGTATGCAGTAGTGCCCTTCAATCATGGAAACTGAAAATTGTACATTTCTTTTTTAGTTATTCATGCAAAAAAAGTAAGAAAATTGTGCTAGTTATAAATCAGTCTTAAGATGATAGTGCTCGGGATAAAACATCTCTGGTTAACGTTTACTTTATAGGCTTGCAAGTTTCTTGATGAGAATTGGAACCCCCAGTTTGTGGTCATTGCAGCACAAAAAAGTCATCATACAAGGTTTTTCCAGCAGGGATCTCCTGATAATGTTCTACCTGGTGAGGCTCACTCATTATTTGATGCATGTCATCTGGTACCTCTGTTATAGTTGTTAAAATCGATCTTTTTTTTTTTTTTAATTATTATGCAGGAACTGTGATAGACAACACAATTTGTCATCCACAGAACAATGACTTTTATCTATGTGCACATGCTGGAATGACTGTAAGTTTTTCTAGAATTTTGTTTCAGTTGATGAATGGTTGTTGATTTTGCAATTTTGTCTCACTTAATTGGTCAGATATTGCCAACTACATTTGTACTTGCCATCTCTATCCAGAATTCATTGTTTGTATTTTAAGGCTGTCATGTATGTTTTGTTGTGAAAGAAAACTTACAACTGAGATTAAAGTTCCAATTGTGGCTGGTTTCCTCATCCAAGTTGTGCTCGATGCTTTTGCTGTGTCTTATGGGTATAGCCCTTCATCTTTTATTATAATGTTGCTTTGTTTTTATAATTTGTGTTTGCTGTTCAGGGAACCACAAGGCCTACCCATTATCATGTTCTCTTAGATGAGAGTGGATATTCGGTCGACGATCTGCAGGAACTTGTCCATTCTCTATCATATGTGTAAGTGTATAATCATGTGTTGTAATTTCTTCATAGATGTTTTAAGCTGTAATCACTGTTGCATTCCTTGTAATCTCTTTCTAATGCAGGTATCAAAGAAGTACCACTGCCATATCAGTAGGTAAGTATTCTGGTTGAGCTGATTCCCTAGTGTTTATGATATGCTTTTTCTCAAACGCCAAGTTAATTTGGTTTAGCTAATGATTTTCCCACTTGATCTCCAGAGAATAGTTTGCGGTTTTTTGCTTGATTCTGTATTTCCATTTCTTAAAGGTGTTTGTTTCAATCTTACTTTGGATTGCAGTTGCTCCTATTTGCTATGCGCATTTGGCAGCTTCGCAGTTGGGGACTTTCCTGAAGTTTGATGAGGCTCCTGAGACATCCTCAAGCCATGGTGGGGTGACTGCTCCTGGAGCCGTACCTGTTCCGCAGCTGCCGTGGTTGAACAAGAATGTCTCCGATTCTATGTTCTTCTGCTGAGACCTTTGGACCATGTTTTCTATAGGCTTTTGGTTTTACCAACAACTGATCTGAAACTCTTTTTAAGTATATTTAACCTTTAGAGTTAGGGCTATCAGACTTGTTCTGATGATGATGTGCTGTTCTCTGAATCATCATCCATTTTGATTATAAACTTTTTGGATGCTTAGCCCCTAACGTATCTAAAGATATGAATGCTTGACTAGGTAATTCACAGTGGCTTTTTCCTGTTTGGTTTAGAGAAGTGGTTATACTACTGCCCTTTACTCTGTTCTCTTATTTACTGTTAGGCTAGGGTATCAGTTGCTTAACCAGTTAGATGTGGCTTCTGAGTAACTACTTTTGTTGGTTTCTGATGCTTAGAAAACTATACCACTTCTCTATTATATAATGTAATGCTTTTCTGTGGCAAGAATGAGTCATATTTCTAGCTTATTTAATTTTTCAGGAAAGAGTTTGTTGGTTTTGGTAGGAAAAAAAATAGCATGCAAAAATTTATAGACAATACTTCCTGTTAAAAACGAATCTCCACTGTTTCATGTACCAAAGAAAAAAGAAACAGAAATATTTCAAAGGAGTATCCATTTCAAAACGATGGCAACCATAACAAGCAGGATCAACTTTCCAGAATGGTTTGATGCAGAGCCATTTGTCAGTGGAAAAGTTGGTGATTCTTGGAAATTAGGCAACTTTCATTCCTTTAAATCAGTAGCCTCGGCAGCTTATGAAGTAAAATGTTTTGCCTCTGAGATTGAACGCTTCCTTACCTCCTTCGTAATGTTGTTGATGAAGTTTTCGTCAATGCAATTGTCATAGCTTGTCCTGTTCACTTGTACAACTGTATATAGCTGCTTGTTGAATCCAAAATATACACAAACTAAATATGAAATTCAGTTTTGTCAATGCAGTTCAACATTTGTAATTATTAGAAGAAAAAGAAAAAAAATCAAAGATGCAGAAGTATAAGAAGGAATAGAAAAAAAAAAAGAAAAGAGAAAAATGAAGGGCTTTCCAAGAAGATAAAAGGTTGAATCACAATGAGAGAACTTACAAGCCATGTCACCCGTAGAACTGCTGATGGATTATGCTTATGAATGAATCGAGAAAACGATTTATATTTAAATAATAATTTATGATAGCTATTTTTTTTTTTTATATTTTTGGAAAGTGGAATTATCGATATCAAAATTAGTTTTACGACCTTGACTAAGTAGTTAGTAAAAACATGATTATACGACCCTGACTAATAGGTAATAGTAATTAGTGTAAGTCTTGGCTAACGGGTTATAATAATTAGTAATGATCATGAGAATGAAATTGTTAATACGATCAATGTCACAGGTTATAACAGTGACCATAACTAACGATAAATAAATGATAATGATGATTTATGATGATGATGATTTACGATGATTTTTAATTATTGATCCATAATTTAGTTTGATTACGATATTTAAAATGATAGCATATTTTGCAATTGTTTATGAATTGACATGTCTTTATATTGATTTATGAATTTACGAAATGTTTGATAGAAAGATGATCTTTGAAATGTTTTAACATCATGATTTTATCGAATGTTTTGAATGATCTATATGATATGTATAAAAACGTTACTTGATCCAGTAAGGTGTGTAAGCTTATACTTGCTGAGCTGTGGTTTGCTCATTTCTCTTTACTTTTTTTTTTTTACAAATGAGTAAGTGATAAGTTTGCTTAGTTTTGTGGAAAGCTCGAAGATTAAATTGGAAGATTACTTAATCGTCAGAGACAATGTCGATAAATGAAATCTTATGAAATGATTTTGTATTTATATGATTTGTATTTAGATATTTAGAGATGTATCATTAGTTGGATTAAAGATATAGATTTTACTGAACATATTATATCAATTTATTGAAGAATTTTAAAATGATTAAGAAATAAGGCTTCGTATTACTTTGAGATTTTATTTCAAAGTAATATGATCGTGTTATGTTTCAATTTCGGAGCGTGACAACTGTACATTGGTTGGGTTTATAATGGTTTGCCATAGAAAAAAAAAGAAACATGCACAAACAGATAGGAAGTAGAAGATAGACCATTCAGTTTTTTACACTACATAAAGATCTATGCAGATAACAGAACTTTGATGGTAATACATTTAGGGCTTCATCCTCCCTTCAGGTAAACTATATTCAATTTTCTTCACTTACAAATGACATAATGGGGAGATAAAAGATGAAAGCACACCACACAACCTATTTCTTGTGTGACTAAGATGACTGAGTACTAATACAAAACAAGACAAAATTTCAAAAAGAGGTATAAGAGTAAATATTTTGGTTAGAACTGTTAGAAGATATGTTTAGGACTACTAATGTGGATTCATGAATGTTGCTTTAGTTAAATGTTTCATGTTGTTCCTGTTTTTGGTGTTGGTTATTTTTTTGTTATCATGCTGATGGTCATGGCTTAATCTTAGGATTATGATTTATGAGTGGGGTAGTTATTAATTAGGCTTTAATTGTAATGTTTCTGATGTTAAGAAATGCAATAGTGAGTAAAATTTTCTTACTTCAAAAATAACAACATTTTGTATCAGAGCTATCTTCTAAGGATCTGTATGTGAAATTGACGCGTCATGGAAGCTGAAGCCAGTTTCTCTTGCAATTGCTCCGACGGTGTTCGACGAGATAACTACCAGATTTGGGCCATTACGTATGGAGACATACTTGGAAGCTTAGGATCTTTGGAAGCAGTGGAAGAAGACTATGAATTCCTGCACTTCCAAACAATCCCACCATGGCACAAATTAAAGCACAGAAAGAAAAGAAGACAAAGAAATCAAAGGCAAAGGCCTGTTTGTTTACTGCAGTCTCATCCATCATCTTCACTCGTATCATGTCTCTGAAGTCAGCAAAAGAGATATGGGATTATCTCAAGATTGAATATGAAGGAGATGAAAGAATTAAAGGGATGCAAGTCCTTAACTTGATTAGGGAATTTGAACTTCAAAGAATTAAAGACTCTGAGACGATTAAAGATTAATCCGATAAGCTTCTGAGTATCGCAAACAAAGTAAGGCCTATTGGATCTGAATTTATTGACTCAAGAATTGTAGAAAAAATTCTTGTTACAGTACCTGAATGATATGAAGCAACCATCACTGTCTTGGAGAATACAAAAGATTTGTCAAAAATTTCCTTAACAGAATTGCTTAACATTTTACAAGCACAAGAACAAAGAAGACTGATGAAGGAAGATACAACAATTGAAGGAGCTTAGACAGTCAAGCATCAAAATATGGCCAAAAGCAAAAGAAAAAAGAAAAAAGATTTTGAAGAAAATGGGATAAGTACTGCATCAGCCAATGCAAAAGAAAAGAATGAAAATCAGAGAAATCCTATTCACCTTGCCAACATTGTGGAATGAAGGGTCATCCTCCATTTAGATGCTGAAGAAGACCTGATGCTAAATGCACTAAATGTAATCAGATGGGGTATGAAACTGTTATCTATAAAAATAAAATTTTACAACATGGTGAAGATGCAAAGATTGTTGATCAAGAGGAGAAAGATTACCTGTTCGTAGCTACATGTTTCTCTGACATCAAATCAAGTGAGAGTTGACTTATAGATAGTGGTTGTACTAACCACATGACACATGACAAGGATCTATTCAGGGAACTAAGCAACGTAAACTCATCGAAAGTTTGAGTTGGTAATGGCAAGTACATAATTGTGAAGGGAAACAAAAAGTTGCAATTTCAATTTGTTCAGGTACAAAGTTCATTTCTGATGTATTATATGTCCCTGAAATTGATCAAAACTTGTTAAGTGTTGGATAACTAATTGAAAAGGGTTATAAAGTTATGTTCGAAGATAAAAGTTGCTTGATTAAAAATGCAGTTAGCCAAGATATTTTCAAAGTAAAAATGAAAGGGAAAAGCTTTGCTCTAAATCTATTGGAGGAGGAACAAACTGTTTTCCCAATAAAAAAATATCACTGAAGTATGGCACAAAAGGCTCGGGCACTATCATCATCAGGGGCTGCTGCAGATGAAATCTAAGAAGATGGTAAATGATTTTCCAAAACTTGATGATCATGTTCCAAACTACAAAGCATGTCAGTTTGGAAAGCAAAGTAAGAAACCATTTTCCAAGGTAACATGAAGAGCATCAAAGAAGTTACAATTAATTCATACTGACATTGTAGGCCCACAAAGAATGCTTTTTCTGAAAAATATTCTTTATTATGTTACATTCATTGATGATTTCACCCGTATGTGTTGGATCTTCTTTTTAAAGTACAAGTCAGAGGTGACTCAAGTCTTCTAGGACTTTAAAGCCAGAGTTGAGAACGAGAGTGGCTGTAAAATTCAAACTCTCAGATCAGACAATGGCAAAGAGTACACTTCTGAAGCATTCACTCATTTTTGTGAAGAGACAGGCATCCAACATCAATTAACCGTTCCATACACTCTACAACAAAATAGAGTAAGTGAGAGACAGAATAGATTCATATTGGAGATGACACGATGTATGCTACATGAGAAGAACCTACCAAAATAATTTTGGGCTGAAGCAGCAAATATTGTTATTTTTTTGCAAAACAGGCTTCCCACAAAAGCAGTGAAGGATCAAACACACTTTGAGGCATGGTATGGTTATAAACCATCTCTAAATTTCTTTAAAATATTTGGATGTTTGTGCTTCACTTATGTTCTATAGACCAAGAAAGATAAATTAGATAAAAGAGCACTTACAGGCATCTTTATTGGCTACAGCTCAGTTGCAAAAGCTTATAAAGTTTTTCAGCCACAAACTGAAAAAATTATTATAAACAGGGATGTGCACTTTATGGAAGATGAAGAGTGGAACTAGGATGATACAAAAAAGATGGATCCAACCTTAAAAAAGCACAAGCTCAAGTTTTCTAGCATTGGAGATTGGGAGAATGAAATGGTGGATGATAGTCCTATCAAAGGTATAAGACTACTTTCTAATGTTTATCAAAGA